TGGCTCAGTGGTTAAGAAAGAGCACTTACTGCTCTTTCAGTGGACTGGAGTTCAGTTCCTGGGACTCATCTTGGGCATCGCACAACTTGCAACCAGTTCCAAAGACTCTCATATCTTACTCTGGCTTCTATGGACATTACAAACACACACACACACACACACACACACAAATATTATATAGTTTTTCTGAAAAAAAAATAGGTAGCTGCAGTTGTATCAACTTGACTCTTGGTCCTCTATTTGACTGATCTACATATCTTTTTATGTCACTGTCATACTGTCTGTTACTATGGCTTTTTAGTATAGATTGAAATCGGGTATGATAATGCATCTGGTATAGTTCTTTTTGCTAAAGGTCACTTTGGTTATTTGGGATTTTTTTTGTTGCTGTTGTTTTGTGATTCTGTATGAACCTTAAGATTTTCTTAGTGTGAAGACTGATGCCCTTCAGAGACTGCTCCTGCCAAGACTTGCTAAACCTCTTTGATTGAGGTGTACAACATGCATCCTGCTCCTTGGTTATCTGTATGTAATAACCCTACCTCCTTATTCAGCTATATGCAATATCCCACCTTTCTGTTCAACTCTATATAATCATAGTTTGAATATAATTGTTCCCCATAAGCTCATAAGGAGTGGCACTTTTGGGAGGTGTTGCCTTGTTGAAGTAGGTGTGGCCTTGTTGAAGGAAATGTATCACTGTAGTGGCAGGCTTTGAGCTCTTTTTTGCTTAAGCTTCGTTCAGTGTCATAGCCCACTTCCTGTTTCTGCATCAGGTCTGCCTGCGTGGTGCCATGCTCCCTGTCATGATGATAATGGACTGTAAGCAAGCCACCCTAGTGAAATGTTTTCCTTGTAAGAGTTGCCATGGTCATGGTGTCTCTTCACAGCAATAGAAACCCTAACTAACTAAGACAATAATAAACATGTTGAGCTTCTGAGGTGCTGCAGATTCTCCAGCCAGCCCCCAGGGAAAGGATATAATAAAGATAGCACTTGTAGGGCCAAGTGCTCAAAAGACTCTCCTTCTCTGCACAATGTCTAGTTGTGGGCCTGTGTTTTAATTATCTGCAAGAAGAAGCATCTCTGATGAGGGATGAACAATGCCCTGATCTGTGGATATAGCAATATGTCATTAGAAGTTGTTTTATTGCTACATTTATTTAGTAGAATAATACTAGTAAGTTTCTCCCTCGGGCCTATGACCTATCTAGTCTCATGTTCTTGGCTTTATCAACAGTGTCAGATATAGGCTCTATCTCATGGAGTGGGTCTTAACTCCAATTTTTAAAAAGTGTTTGGTTACTCCCATTAACACTTGTGCTACTACTGGCACTCAACTAGAAGATTCACCCCTATTGACTAGTATTTATAGTGTTGGAATGTACTATAAATGATACCAGAGGAGAAAAGTAATTATCAATATCACAGAGCTATAAACCCTGCAAGCTAACAATAATTTTATTTGGTGGCATATGATGTCTAACTGGGGATTTTTTTTCTCCATTATGTGGTAATTCCATTTAAGTTACTTTTATATGTATGTATATTTAGGAAGCTTTGATAGTAGAAGGTCTTGATATGCATTTTCAAAAGGCCTTTAGTGTTAGTTATCCGTTCCCATATCCCCACCTCTGTCCTGCTTTCCAATGCCCCTCTCCATTTAATCTTCTTATTTTAATTTATGCTTTGTCCACTTATAATACTACATTCTATCTCTACTTCATTGGAAGAGCCCCTCTTCCTCTTTCCTGGTCCCTTACTAGCTACCTAACCTCTGTGGATATTCTGAATGAAGCATACATCTCTAAAGCTTCAGGGCTGATATGCACAGATAAGAGCAAATGTGTCATATTTTTCTTTCTGTTTCTGGGTTAACTCAATCAGGATGAATGATTCTAGATCCATACATCTACCTACAAATTTCATAATATAGCTTTTCTTAGCAGATGAATAATAATCCAATGTGTAAAGGTACCACATTTTCATTATCCATTCAGCAGTTAATGGACATCTTAGCTAGTTCCAATTTCTGGCTATTATAAATATAGCAGCACTGAATACAGATGAGTGAGTACTATGTAGTAAGATGTAGAGACCTTTGGGTATATTACCAAGAGTAGTACAGCTGGCTCTTGTGGTAGGTCTATTTTCTGCTTTTAAAAGTAGCCCCACACTGATTTCCTTAATGGCTATACCATTTACACTACCATCAGCAATGAATGAATGTTCCCCTTTCCCCACATCCTCACCAGAATCTTTTGTGATTTATTTTCTTAATCTTGGAAATACTAATTTGAGTAAGATGAAATCTCAAAGTAATTTTCATTTGAGTTTTCCTGGTGGCTAAGGATGTTGGACATTTCTTTAAGTGC